GGATAACCGAAAAGTATGAAAAAATCCATTATTAGTGTAGTATATTATTATATCCCATGTAATTAGTATATTAGTATATCGCTATTAACCTACTTTGCGTTGAATTTTCATCGATGTTAAGCCTAACAAAAATTTTTTTAAATAATAATCGTCGCTATTGTATCATTAAAAATTAGAAAATTAAGCCTCGTTTAAATACTGGCTCCCTTTCGTGGTCGAATGAGTGTTGCCAGCTAAAACACGTAAAACTAATATTAAAGTAGCCAAGACATAGCCAAATATTGTAGCGCCACATCACTAGCGGACATTTGAAATTTGCTGACTAGGACGGTCGGTTAACCGAGGTGTCGGTTAATCAGGGGTCGGATAATCGAGGCTCTACTGTACTAAATTACTAAATTAGGGTTCCATCAAGTACCAGGCCTAATCTTGGGTTACGGTGAGTAATTCCCATGACTTAACAGTAAAGAAAGAAATACAAAAGAATTGAAAAATAACATGAATGTAAGCAAAAATTTACGACTATATTTATTAAAATGAACTATAATATACTCGGGTCAGATGTCACGCCAACAGTTAACTCAATCATTCTATTTAATGCCTCATAATCTGAAGTTTTTGATTGAACTATAATATACATAAACAACAAGAATAATTATAAACAAGAAGTTAGTAATAAATATATATTTCAAATATTCAAACAAGTCAAAATCAACTATGTACCAGAAAAAAAAAATCGATAAAAAGAAATTCTTTTCCCAACTTGAAACATACAATTAATTAAATCTCCACCAGTATCAATTAGATTCAAAAATAAAGAATACATCTCTTATGAGTTAAGTGCTTAACCAAAAATAATGCCAGACAATTTGGTCCAAAGTAGATAGATAGCCTTTACACTCTCAAGGTTACTTTTTGGAGCTACACCTCTCCTTTGAAAGGGTGTGTTTTCTTTTATCTGGTCTACAAGCGTAATGCACATATTTGAGCTTTATGGGATCAGTTACATATGCAAGTGAATGTTTTAATTTTGAATTTAGTTTATTGTTGGGGTTTTGGAAGTTGTCTGCTCTTAAAAGCATAATAAAACATTCCTGAAAACAAAATAATAATAACTATAAAAAGAATGCCTAAAACGTAAGATAACAATCAAACTTTGACTTCTTATGCACATTCCAATTTCACTTTTAAACACAAGATCCCCATATTTTGTCTAATTTCCCCAATTAATGTACATAGGCATTGTGAGGCACTATTCTGGTTTTTATGACTATTGCCATATATTTTTTCTACTTAAAATTTTCCTGAACCTCATTTGTGCAATTTGACATATTCTGCACCTCTGATCTGCACATATGATTGATGCATTTGTAAAATTAGATGGGCACAAAAGTAACTCACTTATCATAGATAGTGTACTCTACATATTAAAAATTTAAAACATTGACTTCCATGCTCATTTTGCACAAAGTGTCCTGGGTTCCATTTTAATTATGTAACATTTATTTACTGTTTTCAATTTTTAAATTTTTTTTAAGTATAATTGGTAGTAATATTTAGCAAAAAAAACATTGATGTGAATTATCTCATAGGGGCGTGTGAAGTAACATTTCTTTTGCAGACACAAACTATGAGATAATTCAGATAATATAAATAAATATAAGTTTTATTTTTTAATGTTCTTCAATATTTTTTCAATAAACTTTTCCTTTTATGACATCAAATTTATTTCTCATTCATATTCCAGGCACAAATTAGCCACCTTGTTAATATATTTACTAAGAAAATATTCATATCTGACAATCAAAACAGAAAACTTGTATCACATTTTAAACTTTAGTAACGAAGTTCCAAGGATTAATTTTGTTGATTAAATCATGATTTAATCAACATTTTAAACTTCTTTATAATTTGTTCTATAATACCCAATCAATGTGTCATTTTCATTTCTGATGCCCACTAATCAGTTATAATAAAGGATTATCTTTTAATTGATTTTATGTATGACTCTGATGAATTTTTAAATTTAATTTTGTTTTTCAGAAAAGAAAAGGAAAGAAGCTATCATAGCAGCTAATAATTTGACATCAGCATTAGTGGATCATTTGAATGTTGGGTAAAATGAATGAAATTTTTAATGCCTAAATTATTTATGAATAATTAAAAAACTACTGATTTCTTTTAGAGTGGCTCAGGCATATTTGAATCAAAAAAGGCTAGATGCTGAAGCAAAACATCTCCATGCAAATGTGACGCATTTTGCCAAACAGACAGCGCAGTGGTTACATCTTGTAGAAAGTTTCAATCAAGCATTAAAAGTAAGAGGTTATACATTAGTACAGGGGTTCTTAACTATTTTTGGGCTTTCAGCCCTTTTTCAGAATAATGTTTTAAATACATATGATAAAATAATTGGTTTCTGTTGTAATTCTATATATTTTGACGTACAGTTACTAAAATATTAAAAAAAATTGTGATATAGTAATATATGTGATGATAACAACAATAATGTTGAAAGTTGTGGTGAACAAATTATATTTTGAGTATCTGAAATAATAGTAATGTGATATGAAATTATCTGTAATTTCTAATTGGAAACAATGTCACAAATATGGTGTGTCCAAAAAGTTACCCATGGAAAAGTTTAAGTAAAATTATAATAAAAGTGAAGTTTTACATGTGATATTGCAGTTTCTTCTATAGCAAATGCTGAAAATGTCCCTAGAGTATGTTTGCCCATGATGCTATATATTATTGAACATATTCCGGAGGAAGACAGAAGTGATCTGTTTAATGTGTTTAATTGCCATCTTCAGCTCCTTCAGAGTACAGATTGTTCTCGTATATCTGTCCCTTCAGTACATCCCAGAGATAAAAATCCAGGGTGTGAGGTCCAGAATCCTAGCAAGTCAGATTCTATGGGAGATTATGTGATCTTTATGACTCACAGTAACTTTTCAGACATCTTGTATTTTGTTAATACTACTATGATTTGTTGACTGTATTCATAATTAAAGAAAATGCTAAATTTCAGTTAGTTTAGTAAAAATAAACATGTAATTTTCTTTCTACCCAGATTCACAAACTGTTTAGGGTTCATGGACCCCAAAAACTTTTAAGATCCTCTGCATTAGTACCATAATTGAAATTGAATTAAAAGTTTTATTATAGAATTATGTTTATTTGTACAATAACTTTTATAATTTATTTATCATTTTTATATACAGTATTTTAGATATAATAATATAATAATTTAAATTGCTTACTAAATATATTAGGTAATTAAATTCTGAAATAATATTATTTATATAATTATATATGTTACCAGCCAAACCCGATTTCATCCTACGTGTGTCAGGATATACTAGTTTAGCCTAGGACAATCTAGTTTGGCCTAAATACTTTAGGCTTAACTAGTTTGTCCTAGGCCAAACTGATTTAGAATTATTATTTAAGTCGACTTATGCTACCCCGATTTATGCAAACCTGGAGTTATGTGATTTTCAAATCTCATTGATTCCTCTTTTGTTTGAGTGCCACGCAACTCTTGATTACTCACTCCCCCCACACTATTGTTCAGCTTACATGTTCAGATGTGTCACATGGAATCGATGCATAGCTACAATTTGTGTTATTTATTTCTGTATTTGTTATATCTATGGAAACTTGAGAGATTCTACTATGTCATCCAAATGAAGTAGAATTCTTCTGCATCAAACAAGGGAAAAAAACTTTGGAATGTAAAGTTAACATTATTAACTTTGATACAAAAATGAAAATTTGTGAATTGGCAAAGAAAGTTTGATCTACCAGAATTGCCAGTCAGAACAATTATAAAAGGTAAAGAAAAAATTCTCGAAGCTGTGAAAAATGTTTAATCTTTAAATTCAAGCATCATTCATAAACTTCAAGGTATTATTGCTGAGATGGAAACAATGTTAAAATTATGGTGTGATAATCAAATAAATGTGAAAAATTGTCCTGTTGATCAGAACACTGTGTGCTCTCAAGCTAAGCTGATTTTTGAGAGATTGAAAGAGGATGCTGGAGAGGTGGCTAAAGATGAAGAGTTTAAAGCTAGTAATGGTTGGTTCAGCTGATTCAAAAGTTGCTGTAATTGGCATAGCATTGCAGAAAGTGGAGAGGTGGCAAGTGATGATAAAGAGGCTGTGTCTTACTTTCCAGAGAAATTCAAAGCTATGATAGATGAAGGTGCTATACCAGCCAAACCATATTCAACATAGATAAGACTGGCCTGTTCTGGAAGAAAATGCCTAAAAGAATGTTTATCATGCATGAAGAGAAAACCTTTCCAGGTTTTAAGGCCGCCAAAGATTGATTGACAGTGATGGTTGGCGCGAATGTAGCTGGTGATTGTAAGTTAAAACCTCTCTTATTTTATTGCTTGGAAAATCCAAGACCATTGAAAAAAATCTGTCTAAAGCTGGCTTGCCTGTGATTTGGAAGTCGAATCATAAAGCTTGGGTGGCAGCTTCTCTTTTTGAGGACTGGTTTGGTTATCACTTCATACCTGAAGTCGAATGTTATTACTAATTTAAACAAATTCCATTTAAAGTGATGCTCATAATCGACAACGCACCAGGTCATCCCCCTGCAACTTTAACTAATTTTGACCCATGTGTGAAAGTTGTATTTTTGCCACCAAATACAACCAGCTTGTTTCAATTAATGGATCAGGGAATCATCAAAACATTCAAAGCTTATTACATGAGATGATCATTTGCACATCTGCATGAAGCTATGAGACAAAACGAGCTCTCTGTTAAAGACTTTTGGAAACATTTTTTTCTAAGTTATTGTTTTCTTTAGTCTCCAGCCCCAAATAAAAATAATTTGTATGCGAAATTATACCCCAACTTATGCAAATTTGACTTACGCGGTTATTGCTCGGTCCCACCTATTGTGTAAGTTCGGGGTATTACTCTAATTGTTGTGTTTATTTTTATGTATATTTGTTAATTTTTGGAGGGTAGATATCAACTATCCATCAGGACTTTTTATTTACTTGCAAAAATAAATAATTTTTGCAAGTAAATAAAAAAAGTAGTTCTGGTTCTTGATATTTCAAAGACTACTTTAGTCTTTGAAATATCAAGAACCAGCACTACTTATTTCCCTGCTCTCTGTCACAAGAAATACTTAAACCTTGAACATTTATTTATGCAACAGACTCAAGAATTTTTCACCAAGTCTATAGAATTTGTAACACCAGAAAGTTGCAAATATATATGTTTTTCTTTGTTTTATTATTTTGATTAAATATTTTGATCATATTATATGCTGATGAGTAACAAAATACTGATATTTCAAGAAAGACTATATGCTTGAAGGGAGTAATTTAAAAATAATAGATTCAGAATAAGGATACAAAGATATAGCTTTGTTGTCCTTTTGCATAAAATATGCAAGGGACTAGTGGGGTATGGAGGATTGGAGAAGAAGTAATGAGTATACATAAGTTCTGTTTGGGATCAATGTTATAGGAAAACATGAAATAACATGATATTACCATTAAAATAAATTGTAGCTATGCAGAATAGTAATAAGCTATGGGATTATTGAGTGGAAAAGTACCAGAACAAGTTAAAGAAAAGTGTAAGAAACGGTGGTATGCTGCTCATAATTTATGGCTCAGAGTATAGGATAATGAAGAGGAAATGGGAACAAAAGTTATATGACGTGGATGAGGTTGTTGTAATGGTTAAATCAAATGATAGAGATTTAATCTATAATGATTCAGTGTTATATAAAAATGGACATTTTTTGACTTTTTTTATTTGGATTATTAGCATATAAGAGAAAAGATATGAAGGTTTAAATGTGTTCAGAGAGCAGCATATTATGTAAATTTTATTAACCCACTAACACATGTCTTTTTTTTTTTATTATTATCAATTACCATAAAATACATTTTGAGAATTCTGTGAAGGGAAATGGATTCTCAAAATATATTTATGGTGATTGATATAAATAAAGATGAAAACCAATAAAAAAAGGGGGCAAGCATTAGAGTGGATTAATGCTCCATATAGAGATAAATTTAGACATACGGTATATCAAAAATATGTTAGACGTCCGTGTTTATCAACAACTCCTCAACGATAGTGCTCACGAGAAGAGTGCGAGATCTCGTCCCGTTTTTTAAAGATTGATATCCCCGTTTTTAGTTAGTTTCGGTTTCGTTTTCTTACTTGTTGTTCTTTTCTGTAAACTGCTTTGTGATTTATGTCCTTAATAATAACTTTAATAAAGTATTTTGAAGACATTGCTTGGTGGTATGTATAATTTGTCATCCTATCCTGCGCTGTGAACGGACGAATTATCATTGGCTTATCATTAAAAGTTACATGATAAAAGACCTTAATCCTAACAAAATATGCTATATAGCATTGTTAATATATCTTTGCTGGAAGACTTATTTCATTTTTGAATTATGGAATAATGTATTATTTTAACTTTCTAATTACCAACTCAGAATGCCTGCAATAAGGTGCTTCTTAGTTTAGTATATAGAGGTAATGTCTTCAAATTTTTTTTAACTATACTACATATGCCAGCTCTAAGATGAGATTAGTTATATATATATATATTAATGTATTTTCCTACAAACTATTATACATTCTTCTTGATCAGGTAAATTGGTTATATGCATTTTTCCCAAGGCAGTTTTTAATAAATTATAAATCTCAGCAAAGATGATGAGACAAGATCATAATGGGGATGCAATTATAGATTTGTAGAGATAATGGATTGCTGTAGTCAATTTGGATTTGAATAATTCTAGAGAAGAGTTGAAAAGTTTAATCAGAGGCAGATCTAGGTTTTTTGGGGCCTAGGGCTTATTGAAGTTCAATAGGGTCCCATTTTTACCAAACCTAACCTAACCTATTAACTATAACTGAGTGGTCAAGGTGACAGTCTACCGCTCTCTGGGGACCTGGGATCAAATCTGGACAGGTCCATCCAGATAGGTAAGGCCCCATCCCTCACCGCCCAGTCACCATTGTGGGGCTGGCGAAGCCATAACAGGCTTGCTAAAAGAGGACCTCTTAGTGTCCACAGGGTGGAAAGAGTTAAACAAAATCTGTTAACTATTAATATTTTTTACTATATGATAAGTGCTCATTGTTAATGAAAAAGTATAAAAAATTTATGATGATAATTCAATTTTTGTGGGCCCTTGACACTTGGGGGCCCAGGGCTTAAGCCCTATTAGTCCCTATGTAGATCTGCCCCTGTGTTTAATGATCTGAAAGAGATATACATAGAATAAAACATAGAATATTTAAAATCCAGGTAACCCTCAATATGTACTGTACAGTTAAATTGGTCCTGCAGGTATACTGCATACATCAAAACTACACACACTGAAGTTAACAATCAATAACAAATAAATTAATTCATGAATTAGGTCATTAAAAAATCATATACTTATGATAAAATACTGAATATATTATAATTAGTTTATTACAATTTTTGATTTATTTGCTTTAGATTAAAATAGTTATTTAATTACTATTGCAGGAAATAGGAGATGTAGAGAATTGGGCAAAAAGTATAGAAGCAGATATGAGAACAGTTTCAAGTGCTTTGGAATATGCCTATAAAGGTAATAAATTAAAAATGTAATGAGAAATTTTGAAATTAGCTGTTTAATATGCAAATAGATTGAATTTAAAAATTGTTAATAAAACTAGCTTTGTTTATTAACTTGAATCTTTATACCATTTAGGAAGTCCTGTTAACTTGTTAAACAGCATGCAGAATTTCAGGACCCAAAATGTTCCCAGAACATAAATTTTACATATAAAATTTTCTCAAAAATTGTTCCACACTAGCATAAAAAATATAGTCAAATCTCACTATGATATTTTCAGGACCAGGAAAATAGGTGTGTTATACAAGGGTTATTGTTGTAGTGAGGTCTTGAAATTTAAGAATCGAGATTGTTAAGAAAGTAATGATTAATTTAAATATTAATCTCTGTAATTTAAATAATGCCTTCTGGTTCTGAATTATTTATTAACCAGAAAATTGAATTACATTGTTTTTAACTTTATGTTGTCTTAAAATATTATTTTGCTTTGGCTCATTTTTTGCAAGTTATGATTTACAAATGCTGATCGAATTGCATCAAGAGCAGCCAGTTGTTTGTTTCCAGTTCCAGGAATTGTGGTTGTCATGTGTCAAATTGTTTCCATTTGAGAAATAACTTCTAAGATACTGGGGAGTTTACATGGAACTGATTCTTCTTCCTCTTCCTCATCTTGGACATCAGATCCTAACTCTGCCAGAATTGCCTCATTGGTGCAGTCTGTAAATAAATATAGCTCTTGGTTAACAGAAACATACTCTTCTGCCATAATGTCTACACTCTTGTCTGTAATACTGTAATGTTTTTGGAGTAGTTATTGGAGACCACTACAGGCTGCATTGTTACACCACAGGCTGCATGTTACCAGTCTGTGGTGTCACAAAGCGATCTCCAGGATGATGACCTGGTGTCAAAGCTCACTGTTTGACACAAAGTCATAATTCTCGTTATAAGATAACACAGGTATGTCATTCTTTTGGATGAAGACAAATTTTGCTTCTTTTCAGCAGTAACAAATTGGAAATTCCACCAGTAACTGGCAATCATCTCACATGCTTGTTTTATGTTTATGTTATATGGATTTGTTAACTTCCTTTCAATGTTTATTAACACACACTGCATTAAATGAAATCTGTACTCGGCCATCCTATGGAAAATAGTAATTTTCACCATACATTAGTGCTTAAGTTAAAGCATTCTTCTATGACATTAAGTTCGGTAGACTATCATTACAGCTTTCAGGTTAGACACTTCTTTTATTATTTCCACATATGCATTTCGGACTTATATAAATGTTAAGTCCCTCTTCAGTGCAATACTATAAATTATTAAAAAAACATAATTAGTAACATGACAAAACTCTTCGCGTGCAGGCCATATTTACTGACATAAAACTATCATACTTAAAAATTGTCACACTTATACGATACCTATGGTTCTGTCTTCTAAAACAACAGTGTATAATGAGTAACATTGGAAAGATTTTAAAATACAGCCATTAAAAATGCCACAAATACATTTTCCAACATTAATACGGAAAACCTAATATATTAATAATTTTATAATTTTTTACTTTATATCATCATATATCTTAATAAAATAACAATANGTAACATTGGAAAGATTTTAAAATACAGCCATTAAAAACACCACAAATACATTTTCCAACATTAATACAGAAAACCTAATATATTAATAATTTTATAATTTTTTTACTTTTTTACTTACGATACTCACTTTTAACATTTGCTCATAAAATCTTACATAAGTACAACTCTCAAAGAATGTGTATGTTCTACAATATAACATTGCAGTAACTGCAATTATAATTGTTTTACAGATTAATTACATGTAGCATAGTAATATTAAAAACATTTTTTAAGAGAATACATACACAATTTTACAATATATTTCCAATTATTTTCTGTCACAACACTGATAAATACATTACAATAAAATTTTTTTTTTCATTAGCGCCACCAATTATATTATACTACTGTTGATCTATTTTATTACCATTTGATATATTGATTAAATTATCATCTTTAAATTTTATAATCTCAATATGTTCCTTAAATTTACATTTATACATATCTTTTTCCAAATGAATTATTTTTATATTATTTCTATCTATTTGACAATTACTATTTTTTATATGATTGAACCACAGAGAATTATTGTGTTTTAATTTAATTGCTGCTTCGTGTTCTACTAGTTTCACCTATAAAATTTTTTGGTTCTTGGCAATTACAATTAATTTTATATATAACTCCTGATTTTTTTAATTTATCAACTTTCATTTTATATTTATTATTATTATTATTATTATAAATATTACTTGAAATTTTATTGGTCAAAGATGGGGCCAAAACAAAATTTTTTTTTTTTTTAAATCTTACTACAATTATTATAAACATCATTGATATAAGGAAAAGCTTTATAATTCTTATCTTTTTTATATTTGATATTAAATCTGTTTTTATAATACTGGTTGTGCCACATTTTTAACTTGTAACTGGGGTAATTATTCAAAATAAATTTATTCTCTAATTCTTTTAATTCAATTTTACGATTTATATTATTAGTAGTTCTTGTATATATATTTTTTAGACCCATTATGTAGGTGTTCTTTTTTATAGTTTCAGGGATGCAGGATTGATAATTGATGGTTTTATTGACGTTACATGGTTTTTTAAATGTCTTGAAAGAAAATTTGTCTATTTCATTAATTATTGTTATATCTAAAAAATTTATTTGGGTGCATTTTTCTAATTCAATATCAAATTTTATATCTTCATTTATATTATTTATAGTATTTAATATTATTGTATCATTTGTTATCTTATTATTAAAACTTAAGTAGTAGTCATCAACATATCTCATCACCATTTTAACACCAGGAATATTTTGTATTTTTTCATCAATATTTTTCATAACTAATTCAGCAAGTTTTGGCCCCATCTTTGATCCCATACTGACACCATCTATTTGTCTGTAAAAATCATTATAAACTTCAAAATAATTTCTGGTATATGCAAATTTTATAAGATCAATTAGTGTTTTATCAACTTGCAGTTGTATTAGGCTGTTTTCTATTGATTTCCACTTTATATTCGGATACATATTTTTTACATCTAAACTAATTAATGTATCTGATCTTTCTTTTTTTATTTTTTGGATATTATTTATGACTTCATCAGCATTTTTTATGTTATTGTTGGAACCTTTAATGTTTTTTAATTGCTTTTTAATATAATTTTCTAGATTATAAAGTACAGAGTATCTAAAATCAACGATTGGTCTGTATTTCTCTTCTTCTTTATGTGTTTTTAACCTTATTTTTAATTTTAGAGTTCTATTATTTTTAAAATTAAGTATGTAATTTTTATCAGTTTCATTTATTTTGTTCTTCAAATATGTGTCTTTTATTATTTTAGTTAAATCTTTTTTTATTTTTTTATATGGATTTATATTTAGTTTGATATATTGATCATTATCAATTTGTTCTACAGTTTTATTCTTTAAATTATTGCTATCAATTATTATTAGCTGTTTAGTTTTATCTACTTTGATTATTGAAAGGTTGTTGGTTTTCAAAAAGGTATTCTGTTTATTTTTTCTTTATATTTGTTTACTTTAAATTTATTTTTTTGATGAATTTGTTTAGAATTTTGAATAGTAGTGCCTATTAAACTGGTTTTCTTTTCTTTTTCAATTGATAGATCCTTTATACTTTTATCAATGTTTGCCATTAAATCTAATGTGATATTACTAATAGGTAAGTTAAAGTCTAAGCCTAACGCTATGAAATTCTTTACATCGTTTGGAATCTGTAAATTTGAATTATTGACCAATAAATTATTAATTCATTTATTCTTATCTTTAGGTATTGGGTATTTAAATAATTTACTTAGTTTTATATCTTTTTTTATATTTATAGTTATTTGCTATTCCTTTATACCGGTTTTCTTTATAATTATATTTATGTATTAATTTTCTTAATTTATATTTTAGATTATTCCATTTTTTAATTTTACTTCTTATCACAGACTTTATTATTTTTCTTTCAATTTTCCAAATCATATGTTTCATTATTATATTTCTTATTGTCTTTTTTTAACTTTAAAGTGTTTGGCGTATATTTTTCCCTTAAAAACCACTTAAAATAGTTTGTGTCATGTTCCAATATTTCTATTTTCTTCATAAGAACAACAACAGGTTAGTCATTCTTACGAAGTTAATGATAGTCTACCAAACTTAATTCAAATTAAAGAGACATACATACATAGAACTTGATGTAACACATTGATTAATGGAAATAAAATTGAAGTCAAATCCGACAGGTATCATAAACAATGTCACAGATGACCTGTATTAGTTTGGAGTGATAAATGATATTCAAATAGAATGATTTAAAATAAACTTTAAAACCATTTCAGAAATTTTTTTCTTTTGGAATGCAACATTTAAAAACTTTTCTTTACAATGATGATCATGCAATTTTTTTTGAAAAATTATTTAAGAAATGCACCAATTTTTCCAAAAGGTAATTTTTAGAGTCAGTTTTATAGCCAATACTACCTCATTATGACACATGCCTCTCTCACTCATCTGTGCATGCTTAATTTTCTTTTCTTTTTTTTTAAACCCGGCATTTAGATATTGTATGTTACAATTTTACTTTTAAAACAAAAGTTCTCCCAGCATTTTGGTGGATTTCCCCAATTCTTGTCTGTAGGCATAGCCATGTCACTCCATTTTGTTATAATATTTTTACAGCTACTGCCATGTTATTTTTCTGCTGTAGATTTTCCTGGGACTGTTTTAATTTTCCCAAATATGCAAATTAGGTTTGGATATATTTGCATTCCTGCTGTTAAGTAGTATTATTATTCATTTCTTTTATAAAATTTTAGTGTGTTTTTGCATTCATAAATCAAATTCTGTTAACTTTGATTTTTTATTTGTGAAATTTCTTGTTTATTGAATAAGTAAAATATTCTGTGTTTAAATTT